GACCGAGCGTTCTCAGTCGCTGCCCCTAAACTGTGGAACGAGCTGCCTCTGCATGTCAGACAAGCTGGCTCACTTCCTGTTTTTAAGTCTTCTCTGAAGACACATCTTTTCTCTTTGGCTTTTACTTCAGTTTGAAATGTTGGTTTTAATGACTCTAAGTTATTTGTTTTATTTTATTTGTTATCTTTATTTTATTTCATATTTTTAACGTGTGGGGTTTTTATGTTTTTGTATGTCCTAGTGTACAGCACTTTGGTCAACAGTGTTGTTTTAAAGTGCTCTATAAATAAAGTTGTATTGTATTGTATAACAGAAGTGGGAACATGAAACAAGGGGAAGACAACTAACTATATGCAGTACAGAATACAGTCTACAGTTCCAGGTATTGTGGAGGAAATAGGAGGGAGGGATCTATATTAGCAAGATTAAGAATAGGTTATACAAATCTGAGCAGTACTTCGTTTATTATAGGGAAACATAATAGTGGACATTGTGACTTTTGCCAAAGTACAGAAACTGTGAAGCACATTATTTTGGACTGTTTTAAATATTTAGCTGAAAGGAAACGTCTACTGGACCAAATGACAACTGAAGTAACACGTCCTATATGCTTGAAGAGCATATTGGGATGGGGATCCAGTAAATATGGACGCAAATACTTTATGTATTTCCTGAGGGCAACGGGTTTATGTAGGAGAATGTAAGTTTATCGGAGCACTAGTTCTAAGTAGTACCTTTAGATGGCGGTAATACACCTTGAGGGATGTAAGCTGCCGTTAAACCTCACAGAAGAAGAAGAAACTCATAGTCGGCACGGAAGTGTCTCCGCTGTAGTTTGTCTTGTTTTCTCTCAGTCATCGCAGGTGCTTATGACACTGTGAACATTTTGTCTCGTTCACCGACACTTCTCCGTGTCGATCAGCTGTTTTTCACCGAGTCGCTCCGCAGTTACTCCCCGTTTTTTTTTTTTCCAAGTTCACTTTGAGACCGGGAGATCCTGCAGAGATGTCCGACAACGGTGGCTCGGCTGTCGGCCTTCTGTCCTACGAGACGCTGGTCCATGCTGTGGCAGGAGCAATGGTGAGCAGCCCAACATTAGCTGATGTTTTTAACTATAGGAGGTTCTTGGAGCCTGTATGAAAAGATGCACTGACTGTCATTCGGTGTTTGGACATGTAAAATGAGGTTTTATTGCTGCCTTGTAGGGGAGTGTGACAGCCATGACTGTCTTCTTTCCTTTGGACACGGCCAAAAGCAGATTGCAGGGTGAGTCTGGACAGGTGTGTAAACTAACCATGAAGCTTTACTTCATTATAAACAGTCTATAACTCTGTTACAAGTTAAGGGAGTGATATTCTAAATCAACACTGCACTTTCACACAAACTGTGGAGACTTTGTCACAATGAGTGTCTTTTTTTTTTTAATGTCCTTTTTTTGTTTAAGTGAGGAGCATAAAGTTGCCAGGTGAACACTCTTGTTGCACAATCACCCCACCACCATGTAGAGCTTTGGTTACAAATTAAAAAGTATTGCGTACAAGCAGAGAAAAAAAACGCCTGGGAGTAGGACTCCTCCTGACTAGTACGCTGATAGTTGTTCCGTTCTTGCTCTGTGAGGTTGTACTGTACTTTTTCAGCAAAATGTGGAAAATTTTTATGTCTTTTTCAGTGGATGACAAGCGGAAGTCCAAGTCTACGCCTGTTATTCTGGCTGAGATAGCAAAGGAAGAAGGCTTGTATGTTTTAATTAAAGTAATGTCAAATTGTGTCAGTTTAATCTAAGAGTCTCTGTAGTGGAGTAATTGTGATAACTCTCCACCACTGTTCTCAGGCTGTCTCTGTACAGAGGCTGGTTCCCAGTCATTTCCAGCCTTTGCTGCTCCAACTTTGTTTACTTCTACACATTCAACACGCTGAAGAAGGTGGCTGCATCAGGACCAGGAAAACCCAGACCAAGCAAAGATCTGATGATGGGAATTATAGCAGGTGCAAGTTATCGAGCTCAGTGTTTTGTTTCACTTCAGAATCCAAAAGTCATACTTGTTTTCAGTTTGATTAGAACCAAACACAATACGTCGCAGACTGATGAAGTCTTTTGGACGAAAGACGTTTCTCCCTGAAAGAAACTTGTCCAGATGACACGATTTAACTTTTTTTTTTTCCCAAACACAATACGCTTTTGAAGAAACACAAATTTCAGGTAGCAACATTTGAGTTATTACTGAATGTTTTTGTTTCATCTATTCAAAGAATCATTTGACTTTCTTAAAAAAAAAAAGGATTTTACAAAAGTTCACGGGGGTCCGCACGTTTCACGTGTCCATTTGCAGGAACTCAAAATACAGAAGATTCCTCCATCAGAGAAATGCTAAGACTAAATTACACTAAATACAAAGTTAAAGAGCTTAAAGAACTGCTGCAACTGTTCAGGTTGTCAATTTCTTTAATAAACTCCAAACAATCTGTTCATGCAGGGGCGGTGAACGTGATCCTGACGACTCCCATGTGGGTGGTCAACACTCGACTGAAGCTGCAGGGGGTGAGATTCAGAAACGAAGACCTCCACCCAACCCAGTACAGAGGCATATTTGGTGTGTGGCCTTCATCCATATTCTACTTTAAAACACTTCTGATGCTCTTCTTTGTGACTAAGCCTTGCTGTATTTTGGCCTTCAGATGCTTTCTCGCAGATTATTTCCAACGAGGGAGTGGCAACCCTGTGGAACGGCACCCTGCCGTCTCTCATCCTCGTCCTCAACCCGGCCGTGCAGTTCATGATTTATGAGGCCATGAAGAGGAAGGCAGGAAGAGGAGGAAGAAAGGTGAGTGAAAGAACGCTGTAATTAATGTTTTCTTACCAAAACATGTCAGGAAGGTGCATCGCAGAAAATTAGAAAATATTAGTCACATGAACGAACACCTTTTGGCCTGTTTGTTAGGTAAAATCCAGTCCGACTCCCATCAACAACTCGACACTGTTCTGTCTTTACTTCCACAGATATCCTCTGCAAAGATCTTTCTCATTGGAGCTGTTGCCAAAGCCATCGCCACCACAGCGACGTACCCGCTCCAAACAGTCCAGGCCATCCTGAGGGTAAATACACGTTGAACAAATCTAATGTTGGTAGTGTCCAAAAATCATGAAAAGTCCAAAAGTATAAATGAGCTGGGTCTGTTTAAAAATAAATTTTAAGTGACGCTAAGTGGTCGTTTTTCTGTGCGCCATGAGATGTGGATTATTTTCTTAAATCAGATTAAAAGATTTCAGCAACGTAACCTTCGTGCTTCTTCATCAGTTCGGTCAGTACAAAGGTGATGGAAAGCACGGTCTGATGGGGAGCCTCTCCACTGTTTTCTTCCTGTTCATGGAGAGGATCAAGTGAGTTCATGGATCCACAAACACTCGCGGTCGCCCCGAACGACATCTCTTAACGGTCTCTGATATAAACCTGTTTTGGTCTTTGCAGGACGCACGGCTTTCTTGGTTTGTACAAAGGCCTGGAGGCCAAGCTGCTGCAGACGGTGCTGACGGCGGCTCTCATGTTTGTTGTTTACGAGAAGATCACTGCTGCTACCTTCAAAGTTATGGGTCTGAACAAAAAGCTGAAGCACTGACGGCTTCAGTGCCTGCGTCAACAGGAGGTTTAATCAGTGCCTTCTACTGATTTATGATTGTTTCAAAGTTGCGTGCACTGTATTTGGAGCCTATTTGCTCGTCTGAAGCAGGGGCCCCAACATTTTTTGCACCACAGGCTGATTTTATGCAAGACAGTTTGGACCAGCTGCAAGGATGTGCTTGTGAAGGGTCACGTGCATAACAAAACACAATCAGGTGCATCGTATATAGTTTCATTATAACATCTGTAATTTAAATGTAATTATAATTTTATCTTATTTCATTTATGTTTATTATTTTGTGATTTATTTAATAATTTACAGTAACTTATCAATGTGCTTAGCTGCTATAGTCTCAGTGCAGACACATTTAATGAAGTGGTGACCTTCAATAACAGTTTTTGACCTTCATCTTCACCTTTTTCCTTTAAAAAACTCCAAATTATTTTAGTGAGGGGGGGCTCAGTCTCCATGTGGTGAGGCACATTTGAAGCTTTCAGGGCTTTGATTGATAGATGATGGCCATTGTGGAGCCTTCTGCTGTCTGTTCATCAGGTCTGTTCCCTTTTTCAAAGAAGCTCTTCAGCAACGTTTGTTTTTTTTTTTACTTTTTTTTTTGGTGCTAAAGTTAGAGAGCTCACTGGTGAATGAATAAAACTGATACCAAGCGCTAAAATTGCGCAAACAGAAGTTTTCATTCAACCTTTATTTAGACAGATACATCACAATGAGCCTTGAACACTCATTTACAAGTGAGATCTGTTTAGACAGACTAAAAAAGTGACTCATTTTTCAAAATAAAATATCATGAAGACTAACGGAAAAGAAAATATAAATATATATATATATATATATATATATATATAATTTTTAATACATAAGTGGCCTGGTACCAAATAATCCACAACCCAGTACTGATCTGCGGCCCAGTAGTTGGGGACTCCTGATCTAAAGTATTTCCTGTGACCCCAAAGTGCATTTCATTCCTGAACAAGCATCTTAAACTTCAACCACTTTCATCTTTGCAGTTTTTATTCACCACTTATGTCTGGTCTGTTGTATTCACATTTGTTCTAAATAGTAATACTGCAGTACTGGCATGGCACTAATTGAAGAAGTATGTAATCAAGAGCTTCTCGTTTACACTTGATGACAAAAAATGTCCAAAAGTTCGATGTGTCAGGACCTGAGATCACATCCTGCTGTTAAAAAAATAGGAAACTTGACTGGTGAGGTTTGTTAAAAATTACATTTCTCAAAGGAACATTTAATCTTTTCAGAACATTGTTCTCATTGAGATGCACAAACTGTTACCAGCCAGTGGTTGGCTTAGCACAGCGCATAATCTGGAATAAGTTTGTTCACTCTAAACACAGGAAACAGATTTTTAGCTTTAAAAAAGGGGCCAGTCTACATGTTCTTCCACATCATTCCCTTTCTCTGCACCATTTGAGTTATTTTAACTCATTAACCCACTGTGATTCTACTGTGTACCTCATTGTTGTACTTGACAAAACTAAGAACTGCTTTCTGAATTACCATACCTCCAATTGTGATTTTAACTGTGAATCGAACCAGGTTTCACGTCCTGCTGGACAGAAGGCTCATGAAACTGTGACCAGATAAAGATTTGTACAGCCAGTAAAATCAGTAATGATTTAACTATTATGGTTCAGATTGAAAATCTGGATTGAACCTTCCAGTTTAGTTTTCATTGTTATGTCTACAGTTCAAATTACACAAATGTATTAAGTTTGACAGTAAATGCAACATTACAGTAAGTGCCTGAAGACTTGCATCAGGAAAAGGTTTACTATGAATTGACCAAATGATGTGAATTGTCTTAATTTTTACTTAATTTTACACATTTCATCATTTACAGTTAATGTGGTGCAGTAGTGTTCATCACCCTACACATGCTCTGGTTTACTCATTAAGTGTTTTGCTCTCAGCGCCACTTTGTGATGTAACTTTTAGTAAGTTGAACTCTGTGAGCTGTTTGTACTGAAGCTGAACAAAGAGCAAGTTGTAAAACCTTCAGGATTAAGGTTAGTCTTAAAAACAGCAGCAAAAGATGAACATTTAGAAAAATCCACTGTAATAAACCACAAGTGTCAGTTACTGTTGTATTTACTTAAAACTAACTTCATTTGTTTACAGGAAAGTATTTGTAAGAAAAAAAAAATGCTACTAATCACTTTTTACATTTGTTTAAACATTTTTTTTTTTACATTGCTGTTTGAAAATTCAATTGTTATAACAAGGGAACAATAAAATCTGAGGATTACTGACAATTAAACTGGTTTTATTTACAATGATAACATGCTGGCGAGGCACTTTGGAGCAGTGGTTACAGTTGATGCCTCTCAGTGAGAAGGTTGCAGGTTCACTCCCCAGCCTTTCTGGGCAGTTTGCATGTTCTCATGCACGCAAGAGTTTTCTCCCGGTACTCCAGTTTCCTCCCACAGACCAAAAACATGCATGTTAGACTAACTGATAACTAACTTGCTCCTAGATGTGAGTGAGAGCGTCTCTGTGACGGATTGGAGACATGACCAGGGGTGTCCCCCTTAAGGTTAGTCTTAAAAACAGCAGCAAAAGATGAACATTTAGAAAAATCCACTGTAATAGACCACAAGTGTCAGTTACTGTTGTATTTACTTAAAATTAACTTTATTTACAGGAAAGTATTTGTAAGAAAAAAAAATGCTACTAATCACTTTTGTTTAAACTTTTGGGGCGTCCCCCTGGACATGTGACTGCTGGACATGGGCAACAGCTCCTCGTGACCCGGAAAGGAGTAGCAGATAAAAAATGGACATCATCACATGCAATATAAAACATCATTCATTAAAAATGTTTCCAGAAGATCAGGGTGCTTTGATCGGTGCCAGTTGTCATTGAATGTTTAGGAAAAGAAATCAGTTTGAGGATTTAAAAAAAGTTGATGGTGTTAGTCTTGAAAGCTGGTCAAGGCCTCAGTGTACCAGGGGGGCAGGAAGGAAAACTCAGAGTCCCTGTGGACTGAGTAGGTCACATCTCTGTGGGGCTCCCAGGAGAAGAGGTACACCACACTGAAATATATAATCGCAAGAGAAGCAGATATTTATCTGAAATTATACATATGAGAAGTGCAGTTTTTTTTTTATCATCACTCACCTGTGATTGTCTTCAGTAGCAATACGCTTCACAAAAGACAGAAAATCACTGCAAAAGTTCATGCACACTGTTGGCTTCCAGCAGTTGTGTTCATTCTGTAAAGAAACACGTGTGAGATAAAGCACAGACCTACAAAAGTATTAATGCTGAATTTGCTAACTTGAGGAAAAAAAAAAACTCCTAATATTTCTTCAAACTACAACAATTCACCTTGATGAGCTGAGAAACCTTGGAGATGGGGAACGTGTCGACAGAAACGACCGTTCCGCCATGATCCCTGAATCCTGCCACGACACGAGGGACTCCAGGGAGAAAAGACTGAGCCCACCATTTGAGCAGTTTGAACCTGATAAACCACCCAAATGAAAAACCTTTAGCATTCATGTATAAACTGTAAAACACAAAAAGGTTAACGAGTCATTAGTAGCTGGGTTCACGACCTGTGGAAGTTGCTGCGCTGTTTGGGTGTGCAGATCTCCAAAGAAGTCTTCAGCTCCACGTAACAGGCAGGAGGAGGCGGCGCGTCGGGGTCTTTATCCCGACAGTCCACCTCACCGGAGAAAAGAAGTTTGTGTTCCGTGAGTCGAGTGTGAACCACGGTGCAGAATGCCTCATTAGTGTTAACCACTCCGCTGGGGTCAGGCAAACTGTGAGTGTCATCTGCAGAGAAGGACAAAGATGGAGAGACTGTTTATCACTGTATAGCCTGTTTCTGTCATTTAAAAAAATAGATACGAATGCTAAAAAAAAAAAATTCTCTAGAAATGTTAAAAAAGTTTGTAAAACCTTTTTTAAAACATTATTTTAGTCGAGTTGACAGCTGTTAACCAGATTTATCATTTAAATATTAGAACAACAAAAGCATAACTGTCACCTGCACACATGTACTGCTCAAACTTGTATCCCCAGTACATCATCTCCTGGTTCCTTTCAGCGCGGTTCTCCCGTTCCCTGCGAGCAGCTTCTGTTTCCACCTCGCTGATGTAAAGTGTGCCGCTGAACCTGGTTACTGCCAGCAACCAGCCCTCCCGTGTCTCGTAAGGTGTGGTCAGCAGCTTAGTCAGGTGGCCCCTCCATGTCACGAAGTCAAAATCTAAAGCACTGAGAGCAGCGGAGGTTGGTCAAAGAACAGCTTATTTGCAGGTATGGACGTGGCAAAAAGTTTACAGCGAACGAAAGGAGGCACTGCTCTCGAAAGATGGAAAGAAAAATAAAGAACAAATATGACAAGAACCATTTAATTTGACAAGTAAATGTAAAAATTAATCAAATCAAGCAGAAGGAAAACAATTGAACAATATCTGATTTTTTTCCAACTAAATGAAAACACTGAACGAGCATTTAAGTGTTTCTGTTGCAACAGGTTGTTGAACCCCCCAACCAGCGGCTACTCTTACCGTGAGGAATTTGTGGTCCCTTTTGATTTCAGTTTTGATATGTTGGCTACGATCCACTTGAGAACATGATCCAGTCTCTCCTTCACATTTTCGTCTCTCTTTACGTAGCGGTCCTTGTACCCATCCCTCAGATCAAAATTGGGACTTTTGTCAGGTTCCACGTAGTATCTCAGCTGCCTGTTGTCATTGAAAAACCTACGCTGAGAATCGAGAGAGAAACAGCCTACTTCCACAGGCTGCTTGTACAAAGGAAAGCCTCTCTCATAAAGCTCCTTCCTTGTGCTCAAACTCTGGGAGCTGAGAGGGTTTTGTGCTGGTGTCGACTGAGAATGACACTGGTTAGTGGGTCTGAAATGTGCACTGTCACTGTGGTTTCTTCTGCCATCGTCTCTTTCTTGTCTGTGTGCTGACTGGTGATGGTAATCAGTGAAGGGACTGCGGGATCTGTGGCGATCCATTCCTAAAGTTGAACAGAGCAGTGAGACAGATTGATGGGGCTGATAACTCAGAAATTCAGAGGTTTGGTCATGATGAGTCACTGCTAATCATTTTTGCAAATATAACATGATCATAATCAGGTTTACAGCATAAATAGACAAGTGCCAAACAATTCAGAGGTTTCTGTTTGAAGCAACTATGATATACTAAATTACCACACACGATTAATAGACCTTTAAAATAAATGTAGATACAAATCAGCAAAGACATACCATACCACACCAGCTTTATTTATAGAGCACTTTAAACACCCACAAGACCAAAGTGCTGTACACATAATAAAACAATCATGCAGTCAGTCAGACTGAAATAAAATGAAATAGATAATAATAATAAAATAAATTAAAAGTCAACATCTCAGATGGTGTCAAAGGCCAGGAAGAAGAGATGGGTTTTAAGAAGGGATTTAAAAACAGACAGGGAAGATGTCAAAGGGAAGATCATTCCAAAATTTAGGAGCTGCCACAGCAAAAGCACAATCTCCTCTGAGCTCCTCTGAGCTTTAGCACACTCAGGAGCAGATGATCAACTGACCTGAGGGATCGAGAGGGTGTGTAGGGATGTAGCAGCTTCGACAGATGGGGAAGGGCAAGGTCATTAAGAGCTTTAAAGGCAAATAAAATATATTTTTTAGACGAATCCTAAAATGTATACGCAGCCAGAACAGGGAGGCTAAAATAGGGGTAAAGTGGTCCAACATTTGTGGGTCAGTTAAAAAACGTGCAACAGCATTCTGTACCCTCTAAAGCTGAGAGATACATGAATCACTGATTCCTTTATAAAGTGTGTTAGAGTAATCCAGCTGAGTGGTAACAAAGGCATGGATTACTGTTTCAAAACTCTGCTCAGAAAGAATCGGCTTTATTTTAGCCAGCTGCCTCAATTGGAAAAAAACTGGATTTCACAACTGTTCTGATATGAACCAACATCTACATAGGGATTTTCAGTGTTGCTTCAAAATACCACCACTTCAGTATTTTTCTCATTAAACTTTTAAAACATTCACAGCCATCCAGGCTTTTATATCCTCCAGACATGAAAACAGAGGGCTCAGAGAGTTGCAGTCCTTTTTCTTTAGTGGGACATATATCTGGATATCATATTTCAACAATGAGGCAGCACAGTGGCTCAGGTGGTACAACCATTGCCTCTCAGCAGGATGTTCGCTGGGTCAAATCCCAGCCCGGGACCTTTCTGGGTGGAGTTTGCATGTTCTCTCCGTGCATGCGTGGGTTTTCTCCAAGTACTCCAGTTTCCTACCACATGTTAGGCTGAATGGTAATTCTAAATTGTCCCTAGGTGTGAGTGAGAGAGTGAATGGTTGTTTGTAAGTGTCCCTGTGATGGACTTGCGACCTGTCCAGGGTGTACCCCACATCTCACTTAGTGATAGCTGGATATGGGCACCAGTGACCCCCGCAAACCGAAAAGGAAGAAGCAGGTAAAAGATAATGGATGGATGGATATTTCAACAATGAAAGGAGAGCCCATATTTTGTAATAAAATAAAATAGAGCCAAGAGGGAGCAGCTTGAAAAAAAAAAAAAAAAAGGGGGGGGGGGGGGGGGGCTAAAACTGAGCCCTGCAGGACCTCACACAAAAGAGGAGCAGAGGAAAACACATGGTCACCAAGGTGGACTGGACACAGAAAATATGGTCTGTTAAGTAGGACCTAACCCAGTCTAGAGCTGTACTGCTCCAAACGACAAATAAAATGCCATGGCCCATTGTGTCAAAAGCAGCTGATAAACCTAAAAGCACAAGGACAACACAATCATCAGAATCAGTTGCTAAAGATGCACAAAATTAAAAAAGAAAACACAAGCATTTTTGAGTGGGAAGTGCAAAATTACTACCACAATAAAACCAGCATAAAACTAGATATAAAGTGAACTCAAATAGTGATAAAACCACAGACAATACAAATAAATAAGTAAGAAGAGAACATAACATGGTGTAAGTGTAAAACCATTTAACTCAAGTCAAATCAAAACTGGTCAAATATAACCCAAAATCTTCCGTGACTCGTCTTTAAAACTGCTTTTTAAATCTACACTCTGTGCAAGACAATGTGTGGCTATATAAATTAGTGCTATTTATTTTGTGTACTCATGAGAGATTTTTTTCAACGTTTTATTATAATTACCCAAATTATTGAAATTAGTAAAAACCTACCTCTTGGTTGGGGTAATCAACGAAAGCTGCTCATTTGTGACTCACTATAAAAAAACAAGATAACTTAATTCAACCAAGACGTATTTTAATTGAATGAAATAAAAAAATGGAAAATTACATTGGTGAAAATAGTGCACGCGTTTTTAACCTAACGGGACGGTCAACTAGCAACACTTGCTACAAACAAACAAACCTGACGCAACTTCCGCTTGTGGCGGTTCAGGAAGTAACGTAATGTATCGCGAGACTTTATCCAACGCATCAAAACAGCAAGGACCAGAAAATTATTTGTTATGGAGTTGTGAAGAAATACGAGGATTTATATTGTAGAAAGTTATGTTTAAGCTAATTAATATTGCCACTTATTATCAGGTAATGTTGGCTGATGCTGTTTTAAAAGTTTTGACCAAACATTTTGACTCAGAAAGTGTGGTAGCTATCGGCGTTAGCTTGACTGTGAACTTCAATGTGATCAATGTAAACCGTGTATTTACAGTAAAATGGGTATTTATGGTAATTTTTATGTGTGCAAATACAGACAGTATAAGTGCGTATGGGTGAAAAAGCAAATGTTTGTCATTTGAAAACCTGGATTTCTTTTTGTTTCTGCCAGTTATGAACAGGAAACGGTCTCTTATTTCAGACACATTTAACTTGAAGAAAAGGAGAAATGGCTCAGAAAAATTTGGAGCGGTCAGTGACAAAGATGGTAAGTGTTTTAAAAAGCTACATGTATTGAAGGAAAAACAATGCCAGTTTTACGCATGTCTTTCATTTTTCTTCTACAAGGACCAACAGACATTAAATCCACCCTGGAGTACCTCATGACACTGTTTCCTAGGAAGCTCTTCAATGATGCTTTGCCTCAAATTGTGCTGAAGCACCAGCTGTACAGCATACATAATGACAAGACTTTGGTTGACAAGGAAGTAGTAAGAAGGCTATTCCGTCCTTTAAAAGCTTTATGTTTTACTAACAATTTCTCTGAATATAAAAAAAACAACTCACTGCCATCCCTACAGAGTAAGCTGCGTGAGAGTGGAGAGCTGCTGATGTTCCAGCTCGGATTCGACGCAGAAGCTTTTGGGCTGATTTTTTGTTCGGACTACAAGGCCAAAGTGCTGGCAGGCGAAGAGGGAAAGGCGACTCGAACAGCCGTGGAGAAGTTTTTGGAGAAAGTGGTGTCCTCGTGCACAGATCTGAGCTTCAGCAAAGACAAGATATTGAGAGAGTTTCTCTTCACAGACTCTGAGATAACGTATGAAAGAACTCCAATCTATGGCATGCTATGCTAAATACTGAAATGAATATCTGGTCAATTGTCTATCTTTTTTATGTGAAGGATCTTCTATTTTTCAAACATTGTCATGTTCTTTTTTTTTTCCTCACCACTCAGGCTGCTGGTGAAATCAGGGGTCCTGACTGTGAGGGATGCAGGCAGCTGGTGGCTATCCATTCCTAACTCTGGCAAGTTCACAAAGTACTTCGTACAAGGTCAGTCGTTCTGCGCTTCACCGTAAAATGTGTCATAAATCTTTTTTTGCCACTGTCTGTTTGGAGTCTGTTTTAATTATTGTTATCATCTGTTCAACCTGTCTGTCAGGTCGTAAAGCGGTGCTTGGCATGGTGAAGAAGGCCAAATATAGTGAAGTGTTACAAGCAGACTTAGAGGAGCGACGAACAACATCACATGTGAAATTCCCCATAAAATATCACATTCATGACATTGTAGGAGCAGAGCTGGTAGAAAGGTAATATTCTGAATGGATTTTTATTCTTGAAATCTATACCGGTAGTTTAAAAGGGCATTCATGATTGTCTCAGGAACTGTTTGGAAATGCATTTGCTGGTCTGCAGAAGTAATGTTTATCACTAATTTTAAGTTTTAACAATTTTAACTTGTTAATGTTTTGCACGTCACTGGAGATCATTGGAGTTGTTTTACTGAAGGCTTGCTTTTGTTTCTTTTTCCAGCATACCTACAACTTCAGGAACTTTGTTGCGATTTGTGGATTCCTGAGCCGTTCCGATGCTCACGACAACCAGTGAGCCAGCTGAACTAAGAAGGGGAGAAATAATTCAAGACGTCAAGATGAATTCTGTGCCAAATTTTGTACAAACCCATCTGAGTTAATGAATTGTCAAATTTCTTGGCATAACATATTTTTTCTTAAAACATTATTTGAAATGTGACCCCCCCCCCCCCACACACACACACACACACACACTCTTAGTTGTTACACATGACTTTATTTATTAGAAATTAAGAATTAAAGGTTTGTTTTTGCTTAATCTGTCAATTGGATAAATTTGTTTCTGGATATTTTTCTTCTCCATTTACAAATCTACAGTGATCTAATGAATGTATTCAACAATACTTCTTTGAGAGGAGTCACTGAAAAACTACAAGTGGGTTGTGGAAAACTATATAATAAAAATAAGTTGTTGAAAAATGATTTATGCTGGGAAAAAAAAACATTTTGTTTATGACTTTGTTCTAAACATTGTTACAAAAACATTCTGGGTATCTTATCAGTCGATTCCTCCCCACTTTTACATTCCAGTGTTTTCCAGAGAAAGTGCTGTTTACGCACAGTTTCTACTGGTTCAGCTTCTTTCAGCTTTCTTGTGCAATTTGAACTTTTTTCCAGCTACTTTCAGCTGTTTTTTATGCTGTTTTCTGCTCCTTTCAGATTATTTCTGCTCACTGCAACATTTTTGTGCTTCTTCTAACTTCTTGCTCATTTCAGTTTATTATGCTTCTTTCAGCTCATTTCTGCAAGTTTCAGGTTCTTCTGCTATTTCAGCTACTATTTAGCTGTTTTTATGCAAATTTTAACTTTTTCAGCTAATTCCACATTTTTGCAATTTCATATTTTTTCAGCCTAATTCAGTGAAAATGTGCTCTCCACTTCCCTCTGGTAATTAAGCTTTTTTTTTTTTTTTTTGCCTTTTTGGCTACTTTTCAGCTGTTTGTTTGCTAATTTCAGCTTTTTTCAGATAATTTCCACTTTTTCTGTGCTCATTTGTGCTTCACTGGGCAAATGTGTTCTTTTTCTGCTATTTATGCTATTTTTAGCCTAATTAATTGTATGCTAATTTCAGCTTTTTCCTTTCATCGTTTTTCTGCTAGTTTCAGCTTTTTCTGCTCTTTTAGCTACTATTAACTCTTTTGATGCAAATTTGAGCTTTTTCAGTTAATTCCACATTTTTTTTTAGCTCATTTCAGTCTTCTGATTCTTTGAGTAAGCTTCTTCCTGCCTTTGCAGCAGCTACTTTCAGCTGTTTTCAGCAATAAGCATTCACACTGTTTTCGCAGGAAATGCAGTTTCTGTAGTTAAAGGAATTTGTTGATTAATACGTCATTGTCAAGTCTATTTTTAAACCAGGTCTGATCTGACTTGAAAGATTCAGGAAGAAAGTAGATGTAGGCTCAACTCACTTCATCTTTATTAATCTAATATTAATTCTAAGACGGTATCTGCAGCATCAGTAAAACTGTTAAACTAGTTAGAGCCTAGATTAGAAGCGTACTTATGAACAGCAGTAGATTTGAGGTGGTTTTAGTGCAATCAGAGCTTTTTTAGCACATAGAGCCTCTGTGTTTAGTTTCCATTGTAGGTCTCTGTTGGGAGATGAGTTGACCTCATGCTGTTTTGAGACTATACATTTAGTCTTTCCACATTATGAATTATATTAAAGCGTATTATTTATGTGATCTTTGAATGTGTCATGCAAGATAAATATGACTTGTTTCTTTGAAAACATACATGATTAATTCTGAGGGGAAAACACATTTTGGTGACTAAAAATAATTGCTTATAATTATTTGATATAATTAGGTAAGATACAAATAAAGTAAGAATGTATATAAATTGGAAATTTTAGAATATCTGAAACATTTGAAATAAACAGAATAAATGGTCAAATGCTTTAAAATGTTTCATTCATAGTTTGTCATGTTTTAATATATATTTACACAATTTAAAACGTTTATGAATTTATATGGTTTGGTTAAACAATTTAAAAACATTTAAAACTAAACAATCTGCATTTTATTTGTTTTCCAAGGTTTTCAACTTGATGTTGCAGATACTTTGAAAATAAAAATGACGTGAGTTGAGCCTACGTCTACCTTCTTCCTGGATCTTTCATGTCAGGTCAGCACTGGTTCAAAAATAGTCTTGACAGTCATTCAGTCATAATGACGTCAATATGTTTTGGATTACTTGTTTTTTTATGGCACACATTTTTATTGAAATAGCTTTATTAAGGTTGTGCAATTCCACTATTTATTTTGTCGGCTTGTTTTTTGTATTGATGCCGAGTCAAATAATCATCACTAGCATTGTATTATTTTTATTTTGCCATATTGCTAAACCAAGACCTGATCAGATCCAGATCATATTACTTCCACCTCAGGAGATGTTGGCTATATTGGACTCATCACTTTATTCTCCATTCTTCCTACACTGATGGACTCATCGCTCTGAAACGAAAAGTAAAACCATGATATGACCTTCCATATGAAACAGGCGTTAATTCCACAAACCGGTCTTTATTTATGCATGAAGAATTTCTCGTAAAAATATGCACAGGGTAACTAAATGCTGGGCATTTTAAAAATTGCATTTAATGTTTACTTTGAAACCATTAAGAACAGTTCAGACTTCATCCTCCAGAAGTACCCGCTTTCAAATTCTGATTGTACCGGAGAATCTTCCCAGTGAGACGTGCCTGGAAAACCTCCAAGTGAAGACACCCAGGGACAATCTCGGCAGACTTTCACTGCAGAGGACCAGCGGTTCTACCTTGAGTTCCTCGCCTCATCTTCAAGGTTCTGCCCGTCCCCCCCCAGAGGGTCCGCTTCAGCTACTTGTACCTAGGATCACACCATTATTCATACCTCATGACCATAAGTGAAGGGTGGAACAAGGAAATGGAAACTTTAGCCATTTGGCGCACTTCAACATTGTTCAGTCAGGTCATCTGGACAGTTTCTTTTTTTGTTGTTCATACGTTTTGTTGTTCATCCAAAGGACTTCTCGAGTCTGAGGAGCCACAAACTCAGTCCCACAAGAAGCAAACTCCCAGTCATCAGTCCACTATTGAACAATTTATACAAGTTAGTCTCATTGGTCTCACTATGGGAATGTGCTGCTTGTGGGACTGAGTTTGTGGCTTCTTGGGACTGATGAAGTCCTTTGGATGAACGACGAAACGTCTCACCAAAAAAAGAAATCGTCCCGATCTGGAATTTTTACCTGGATTATTGAGCATGAACTTTGATGTTTTGGCTCAGTTGTTTCTTCACCATGACAAACTGGAGCAACACCCTCATTACCACAGACACAGGCTCCACTTCAAACTTGAAATGTTTTGTATTTCAAACAGGACAAATTTTTTAATACAAATACCGCAAACGGATAATAAAATAATCCTTCCACCTTTATTTCAAATGCACTCAGTTGTGAGTAATTTTACCATTTTGTGTTAAATAAACAGAAAAACAAGGTTTTTACAAGAATTTATTGGCTTTTTCAAAAAGTGACAATAGTTTTGAATTCATAAAACTAAAGAGTCACAACATTGGCTTGAATAAAAGCACAGCTTGATGTCTGATACAATACAGATGACCAACATGTACTTAACCCCTGATCTAATCATTCAAATACATTTTGTAAATAAGCAAAAAAATATATAACTAGCAATTCTAATCTTTTGTTTTCAGTATATGATGCACAGACATGCCATCAGAATTAATTACAAAAAAAAGCTAGGTTGTAGGGATATTCAGGTAGGATTAACTGCAGAGGTAATAAAAAGATATTCATAGTGTTAGTCAATGCAGTGAGTCTAACTTCCGTGAAGATACAAAATAATCAAATCATAACAAAAAGTTGAGTACAATGTGGTCTACACCATAACAGACAGTAGCTTTTTTTACTATTAGCAGGTATAGATAATAATCTTAGTGATGTTACTTAGCCAGTAGTGTTGCTTAAAGAGAAAACTAATCAAATGTGCTGCACAAAAGATACTTGATAAATGCCCAAAGAGCACTAAAGGTGCTCTTGTTCCCCCATCACCAAAACATCTGAAGAGATTTTTCAGCGTTGCTCTCAGAGGCAGCTGTACAGGTGAGACGCGTCAAAGGGAATATTGCAAAGTAAAAAAAGTAATAACTTGATAAGCTCAAACTGGATACAATCCAAAAAATACTGATCTTTAAAAAAAATTGTTTTAGGAATTGATAGCACTATTTCAGTAGATTCTCTGTTAAGTTTTTGGGCGTCGATAACCGTTTTAGGGCTGAAAACAAACTAATAGCAACAATTTTCTGGTTCTTGAAGTTGTTCAAAGTACAATTTTTTTACAGCGAAGTTGACACGACTGCCTTTGCAAAGAAAACATGAACTCAAAAATGCCTTTTTTGATCAAGTGCTGGAACAAAAGGAAACTGTCAGATCATACTTCAGAGATGACAAATTTCCTTTTCGGCTAAAATATGTGCAGAATTTATTTGGCAATATTACTTCCACTCATAACAGGACTGTAAACAAACAAAATAAAATAAAGACGGACAATAGGTGGTAAAGCTCATGACATTCCACCGTCTATTTTAGAAAACATCCAATCTATTTTAGAAGGCCTCGAGAAGTTCATACTCTTGTCTATACAATATACAAAAACCCGGAGTCTTGAAAAGTCCAAACCTTCACCTAAAGCTGAACTTGTGTTATTTTTTATGAAACAGATCTAACTACGCTTATGGAAGGACAGGATCTGAAGTGTGTTGTTTTTATGTTTACTGGTGTGTTTCTGTTGTGTCTTTAGCCCTCCCCCCCACCACTAGCGATCATGTTTCCCCAGAACCGTTCCACTGCTGGAAATCTTACAAAAGACTGCACTTCCTGCCCTTCTTCTTGACGGGTGGGGGGCACAGAACAGCACGGATGGCCTCATCGAACACAGTTTTAAGGCCACGTTGAGTCAGGGCGGAGCACTCCAGGTACTTGACAGAACCTGAAGAAAAGCACAAAAAGGGGGCGGGTTTATTCCTGGAATTTGGTGTCAGAAAATGACAGAATGACGCGTTAAGAATCAGAAAAATGTCTAAAGCTGTTACCAATCTCCTTAGCCATGGCAAGGCCTTGAGGATAGGTGATGGGGGACAGTTTCTTCTCCTTGAGTTTCTCCATGGTGTCCTTGTCATCTCTCAAATCCAGCTTGGTGCCCACAAGGATGATGGGAGTGTTGGGACAATGGTGTCTAACTTCAGGATACCACTAAACAACCAAGTTCAACAAATCCATCAGTCACTTGAAACAAGCTTAAAAATACTAAAATTATAAATATTGATAAAAACATGGTGGTTTTATTAAATAATAACTGGATACCAAAAATGTTCCCAGCCAAAAAAAGAAAAGTAGTGAAAAGAAAAGAAAGTGAGCGCTGGTCTATTTGCAGGAGAACTGAGGAGGAACTGAGGACTCGGATAATAATTTCCTGTGTGTTTATCGCCAAGAAAAACTCGCTCAGAGTAATCTCATGACACGCGTCTGGACGTCTTCATAAAGTAATGTGCTAAAGTACAAAAAGATACGAGACCTTGTGCCAGTATAACTATTTTTGTGAATATTCATTTTAAATAGAATAAAAACAGTGAAACAGGTCAGACTCTTTCAGTACCGGTAACTACAGAGTTTGGTTTATTTTTACTTATTTATTTTATTTACCCTTTATTTATACAGGTAGTCTCACTGAGTCACCAGAACTCATTTTCAAGAGAGACATGTTTAGGGAGCAGATGGTGTCAGGGGCCCAGAGTGAGGCGAATGAGGGTGGAGGCAGGTGTGGGTGTTTCACCTTTTCCACTCACATTTTGAAGTTGACGGTACCGGGAGATGAACCGGCGACTTTCCGATCGCAGGCCCATCTTCTCTAACCTCTGCGCCACCACTCCCCATATTTAAGTGACCTAATCTCACTTTTACAACAAAGATAACGATAATGTTGGTTCTTATTTGACTAATGTTTAAACAAGGATCAGAATTACAAAGACAAAGGTTTCATACGTTATGAGTGAGACAACAAATTAATTTTTTTCTTTTTTAATGTTTACAACTATTTTGACAACAAAGGATGTTTTTTTTTTTTAATCGAAGTCGTTGAGAACTGATACAGTAAATTTATTTTTAAAACCACATAATAAAGTTGCCTCATTTTAAGTTGAGTGCAGTAAGAAGATAAAAGCTCCATGTTTCGGACGTGTTGCAGGCATCCACAAAACTACAAACTAGTTTGTTTTAATATTGCACAGCTGAGAATACCGTCGCTTATGTTTGACAGACTTGAAGACATACATATGATTTTTTTTAGTGAGGTAGTAATGGTAAATAATGTGTTGTTTTAAGTTAGAATCACTGTAGCGCTGACACTGGCTAAATCAAAGTAACACAAACAAATAGGTACCCTGGTTTTAAAGAACAACAAAAAAATAAGTGAAATGAAATGTCTGTTAGATTTATTGTTCCCCCACACACGTTTTACTCACCTTGGCACGGACGTTTTCAAAAGAGGCAGGACTCACAAGAGAAAAACAGATAAGGAACACATCCTAGAAATAATAAATAAAGCAGAGTATTACTTCCTCGTAAAGACAAATCAGAGCTCAGATGACTGGATTTTATTTAAATCTTCTTCCTTATTTGTTCCCCTAAAGCTCCAAGTTAATTATTCACTCAAGTGTGATTTCTCTATGTACCGTCTGTGGGTAAGAAAGTGGGCGGAGTCTGTCGTAGTCCTCTTGTCCTGCTGTATCCCAGAGGCCCAGGTTCACTGGTTTTCCATCCACCATAACATTGGCGGAGTAGTTGTCGAATCTGAGAAGCCGTGACGTGAAAATCATGAAATCAGTCTTAAAGATGACCAATAAAAGATGTGACAAACTGATCTGTAGTGACTTTTTGCTTGTCTAGCTTTCCTTTAAAAATTAATCATCAGCTCATGAGTCTTCCAGTACCAAGAGTTAGTTCATCAAATGCCTGCCGAGTCAGTCTAGATTACAACAGTGATAAGAACAAACACAGCTGGCCAACAATCAGATAAGCAGGTTTTCTTCACAACATTCACAAACTCGTGTGTTCCTTTAATTAGTCTCCAGCAGTGACTGTCACCTCTAGCACACAAGGACACACATTTTCAGCCACAAAAACAACTGAGGATATGTTGTCACCTCGATCATTCACTGAATGTAGGAAAAAAGGGTGGAGACAAATCATGGACGGCTCTGCTTTCATAAATAAATAAGTAGCGACTGCAGTGCAGTCTCAGACACTCACACTGTGGGGATGTACTCTCCAGGAAAGGCATTGGTGGTGTAGCTGATGAGCAGACAAGTCTTACCCACAGCACTGCAAAAGAGAACAGACTTGATCAGCGTTTGTAAAAGCAAAGAAAAAGGTGATTCTCACTTTGAACCGACCGGCAGTTCAGGGAAAGGTTAGAGCCATTATTTAAATAAGAAAACGACCACAGTAAGTTTGATTTAGGCCCATTAACAAAGTTGAGTAAAATTAAAGGCCTAGCATTCCTTGAAAGTAAACATTTCACCCATCATTTTTCAGACCAGAATTTTAAGCTAAGATTATCCAACGATGGAGAAGGGACAGAGTTAAACCTTGGTGTAAATGACGTTATGCATAATCTCACATGAGATGTGCTGGGTCTCAGAGGATTCTTTGAGGAAGACTCAACTTCAAGTTTTAAGTAAACTGTGTGAATTATCCTCAGCTACTGCCACACTAACGTTAAGCTCAATATCTGTAAACTTGACCGAGTTAGAGCCCGTTTTGTTTTGGTTAATATCGACTGGCTGAGGCATCATCTTGAACAGAGTTACACTAGTTTATCTAATTTGTTAGAACCGGTCCTGTAGTCCTTGCTCAGTAGCTTTATCAAATATTTTCAAGGTTCAAGGTGACTGTCATTCGCATGTTTTGATCATGATTTTCGGATGTTTCGCTCATCTGTGTGTGTCAAAGACTACAGGACAAGTTCTAATGAATTAGATAAAAACAAAAACTAAAAAACTCATTCGCAACACAAAGTGGAACGAAATTGTATACTCAAGATTCAAGTTACATCCAAAAATATAAAGTATAAAAATTAAACAGTATACATGGATCTAAGATATTCGCTAAACAACAATAATGTAATATAATACGGTGTATTAAACAGCAGCCTGAACATGAGTCTGTTGTGAGCAGATGGGTATGAGTAGCTTAAGGTAAGAAATCAGCAGCATGGATAAAATGATAACTATTAAAAGTGGCGTTCGTGGTGCTGTTGTTCAGAGTACTGTTTTTGTACTATTAGTACTTGGCGTATTCTTAGTTTAGATCTTAGAGCTTATAGTTTTCTATACAATTTATACTTTTGTTGGATGTAAGTGGAATCCTGTGTACACAATTTTGTTCCACCACATGTGATGAGAATGACAAAGAAACCTTGACCTTCACTACAATATTTTTGGTTAGGGATGCATGAGTCTAGCAGCTGTTTTTTTGTTTTTTTTGTTTGTTTGTTTTAATTCTGAATACATGAACTTTTCAGTGTTTGCTGTTAACATTCACCAAAACAGCTGGATGAGACATTTTCATCACCTCCAGCTTCTTTTATTCTGGTACCAGCTGAAGCCCAGAACCTCTAAAACGAGTTGTGTTTAAAATATAAATCAGAATTCATTTACTTTTACCTAAATTAAGTTGAGAGGCAAACCATCACAAACCCAATGAGTTTTGTTTGTTTGTTGTTGTTGTTGTTTGTTGAGTTCTGCTGCATTTACCACACCCAGAACTTGTACGCCTGTTTACCTTCTTACATACAATTGCACAGTGACACTGATGGCTCAAACGTTAATCCTCCCTCTTAAAGTGTTGCAAACAAACCTTTAGATTGATCTGAAACTCTTATGAAACCGACACCAATACCCAACAGCAACTATCGTCTATGAATGGCCAAATGAGAGAAATCTCAGCTGCGGCTCAGATTGTTCGTGTCAAACTCCAAATAAATCCGCGGTTTAAGTAGAGTACACGAACTGCTTTAAGTTAATTTAAGTTGGACTCAGCCAAGAATTGGGAAAACTCAAGATTAACCACACCTTTCCATAAGTTGCTTCATTAAATCGGAGATAGCAACTAAGCGACATACCAGCAAAAGGTTAACAAACTTGTTTTTCCGGAGGGGAACGCTGGTAGTTTTAACTTGGTCCGTTTGGGAAAATAAATAGGAAACTCATTTAAACGTTAGCCAATCGGATGACAACTTTATTAAATATTACGATTAAAGTCTTACTCAGCTCAGATATGTGAACTTACCCGTCTCCGACAACCACACACTTTATGGCCTGCATTGCGCCGCAGCTAAAGGAATGCTAAGTTAGCTCCGGCTAACGTTAGCTCGGGTCTTTTTTTCCCTTTGTCCGGAACTGCTCGCTGGTGAAACGTCCCAACAGTCTCGCGCTCACGGCCTCCGGCGCTACAGTACAGCTCCGCTGACGTGGAACAACGAGTGGTAAACTTACGGCAACTTATTTCGCACTTTAACGAGACTTTCCTCAGAAATATCCTCGCAACATTCCCACGCTTTCGCAGGTTGGGAAGTATGGAGCAAAACAGCGGCCACCACCCCTGAGAAGAAAAAAAAAAAATGAAGTCAGCCACCGGCAGCAGACGAAGCATCCGGTTCACCGGGTTGATACGCCCACACACTTTACGTTACAAAACAAAACAAGCAGCCGGAGAAACACCCGTTTCTATTGATTCAAACAGTTCAATCAAGTGTATTATACGATCATCTGTTTAAATTTAAATTTTAAAAGGCTATTTTTACACACAGACAAGGACGGATGATTTAAAGTGTAACACTAAGAGGAACTGATGTCATTTTAAAAAATTACCTGAATTTTGTCTTCCAGGCTTTACCTCAAGAGAAGAGAAAGAGAGACTACCTGTTTGGCTGCCTTATAGTAATTAAAACTTACAGTAAATACGCCTAAAAGCTTGTGAAGCTATAATAGTATAAACACAAAAGAAAATAATATCTCCTTGTATTCTGATGCATGCTCAATAATCCAGGTAGGAAAAAAAACAAAAAAAAAAACAGTTAAGTCAGATCTTCTGGACAAGTTCAATAAACAAACAAAAAAAAAAGACTGTTGATCTCCTTGTCTGCCTCGTAGTAATTCAGCCATACAGGAAATACGCCATTCAATTCAACCTTTATTTATTCAGCTTAGTTGGATTAAAAAAGCCTGTGAGGTCAGCCATTAACAATTACTAATTTGACTAATTGAAATCAAGTAGCAATGAAAAACACACGACTGGTGTGTGCTTTTAAGGTTTTCAGTTGTGTACGTAGCTGTACAGCTGGCAGTGTAGCTTTTTTATTATAACTTATTATATATATATTATGTAAAATGTAGAAGCCTTGCTTTAGTGATAGTTAATGTTTTAGAGAAAAGTAGATTTAGTTTTAAAATGTTGTAATTAATCCAAAAAGCACTTGTCAGACAGAATACATTGTGTATCAAAGTAACAAAAAAGACTTGTAGATTGTTGTCAATGTTTTTTAGGGGAACCCACACGACTCGGAATGGAAGAAGCGGGTAAAGATGGATGGATAGATGGAAATGTTGACGATTTGTTTCATAATCAAAACAATCAAACTCTAAACTAATAAGCCAATTAGTAGATTATTCTATATTTTATTAAGACATCACAATTTCTAGTTTAGTACACTTTTACAGTGCAATCTATCTATTCATGCTTTTATTTAAGCATTGTATCAAAAGTGCCATTATTTTTAAGTTGTTGAGGATGTTTCAAAGATTCAAAATAATCATGGTTAGACATAAATTCTTATATTTCGTCGGGTTTTTCTTTTTGATAACTCACAGATACAAACAGAAACTTAAATTAAACAGGAACAGTGTCATGTCCTGCCAGTCACAGCTCGGGGCTCATTAACCCACACGCGATGTTCCGTGTGTCGCAGCGTTATCGTTCCGCTGTCGGTGCGGCAGTTCCGCTAACGGAGCTAACACTGCTCGGTGTCAGTCCGCAAGAAATATGAAGCACAGTGAAAGTCGCTCTTTATTTTCCTCTCCTCGCCCCAGTTGTTGACTCGGAGCCGACACAGCGCCGGGCTAACCGAGCCTTTATGGCGGCCTTGTCGTGTCTCGTGCTGCAGATCTCGAGCTCCGCCGGTCGGACGTACGGACTGTTTTCCAAAGGCTTGACGAGGACTTTGTTGATATTTTTTGAACTGGCATGGCGACTGAGAATTAGATTTCCTTACATCTATCTCGTTGCCTCGATGGTATTTAACGTCAGATTACAGGTGAGGACAGTTTCCTCTTGTCAGCTGAGCTCACCTGTTTGTGTCCAGCTGATTGAAAAGGCCTGTCTGTCATGGTGTTTAATTAAAATATAAAATGTAAAGACGTATTTATTCTCTGCAAGTCATTTTATAGCATCAACCTGTTGCTACTTAAACTAAATAAGTGTATGAATGTAGACATGATCTGTTCTCATTAATATTAATGTCAGCAGTTGTGTTGATGGTTGAGTGTTGCCAACAAGTGGCACATATATATATATATATATATATATATATATATATATATATATATATA